GAAGAACCTGTTTTGATTTCACCCTTTTCATTTCTAATTGCATGGATTTGAATCTTTTGCTTCCTTTTTTGATAAGGTTGCCTAAGGGTTTGTCAATTTTATTTAATCTTTTACAGAGCCAACTCTTTGATTGATTCTTTGATTTTTTTTTTAGTCTCCAGTGTGTTAATTTCTGTTCTGATCTTTATGATTTCCTCCCTCCTGTGAGCTTTTGGTTTAGCCTGCTCTTTTTTTTCCTCCAAGTTCAAGGTTCACCATTAAGTTATGTATGTGTGTTTGCTCTGTTTTCCTGATATGAGTATTTACTGCTACAAATTTTTCTCTTAAAACTGCTGTCATTAGTGCTTTCATCATTTTATATAGTTGGATGCATGACATTTGTTGTATATATATTGTGCCAGGGATTTAGCTCAGTGGTTCAGGGATTAGCTCAGTTTGCCTGCTTGGCAAACCCGAGGTCATGAGTTCAATCCCTGGCATAAAACAAAACAAAACAAAAGAAGCTCTTGTGGTGTCCTGTAAGTTCCAGTATGTTGTACTTTTATTCAACTATAAAAATTGTCTAAATTCTTCTTTAATTTCATCTGTGACCCATTGGTTGTTCAGCAGGGTTCTATTTAATTTCCATGTGTTTATGAAATTCTTGTGGTTTCTTTTGTCATAGATTTCCAATTTCATTGTACTGTGATCTGATTGTATGCATGGGATAGTTTGAATTCCTTTGCATTTACTTAAGCATGTTCTGTGGGCCAGTATGTGATTCTATTTTGGAGAATGTCCCATGTGCAGCTAATAACAATGTATATTCTGATGTCTATAGAGTGGAACACTCTATAGATATCTACTAAGTCCATTTGTTCAAAAATTCGGTTCAATTCTAATATTTCATTGTTAATTTTTTGTCTAGTTGATCTGTCTTTTGTGACAGTGGGTTACTGAGATCTTCCAATACAATTAAATTAGGGCTTATTTGATTTTTCATGTCCATTAGTAATTGTTTTATATAGTTGGCTGCACTGGTATTTGTTGCATATATATTTATGATTATTATCTCTTCCTCTTGGATTATTCCCTTTACAAGGATATAGTGACTTTATCTCTCTTAATCAGTCTTGACTTGAAATTCATTTTATCTACAAATAGAACAGCTACCCCTGCTTTTTTCTGGCTCCCTATTGCATGGAGTACTGTTTTCCATCCTTCAATTTTCAGTGTATGAATTTCTTTTTGAATTAAATGTGTTTCTTGTAAGCAGTAAATTGTTGGTTTGTGCTTCTTGACCCATTTTACCAGTCTGTGTCTTTTGATTGGCTGAGACCATGAACATTGATGGTTATTACTGATAGGTATTGATTTGTCTTTCTCATATTATGTTTCTGTTGTTGGCTCCCCCAACTTTGTTTTCTCCCCTTTCTCTGTTTACCTTGCCTTTTGAATTCCTTCTATTGGGGTTCATGGAGCTATAGTCATTAAATATCTTTTTAAGATGTTCTCCAAAGCATTTTGGAGTGCTGGTTTGATGGTTATAAGTTTCCTTAGATGTTCTTTGTCATGAAAGTATCTTATTTCTCCATCAGTTTTGAAAGGTAGTTTTGTGGAATACATAGATCTGGCTTGAAAGTTGTTTTCCTTTTGAGCTTGTATTACTTCGCTCCAATCTTTCCTTGACTTGAGAGTTTATACTGAGAAGTCAGCTATGATTCTGATGGGTTTTCCTTTATAGGCGATTTGTTTCTTTTCTCTAAAAACTTTTAAGATTCTATTCTTGTGTTGAATTTCTGGAGTCTTGATAATGATATGCCTGGCTGTAGAGTATTTTTTGATCATGGCTAATGGAGTTTTATATGTCTCACTTATCTACATGTCCAATTCATTTTCTCTACCAGAAAAGTCCTGTTGTCTGTGAATATTTTTTAAATTTCATGTGTGGTATCTCTTGATTTTTAATTGGCTTCAGTTAATCTTAAATTATTTTTCTTTGTCTCATCTAGCCACTGATGGGTTGATTTCTCATAGTCTCTTCCTATTCTTGAGAAATCGCTCTTTTCCTGGTCACTAACTGCAAGCCTGTCTTCAATATCTGAGATGCTATCCTCACATTGGCCTAATCTGCTTTGAATACTTTCAGTGGAGTTTTTATTCTCCTGACATCTGCTTGAATCTGCTTTATGGATTCTATTTCTTTCATATGCTAAGCTTCCATAATTTTCTTAAGCTTGTCTATTTTTTTATCTGTATCTGCTCTAGCATCGCTAAGCATGGTCTTTATCTGAGAGATTATTTCTGATTCCATTTTTTCCAGAGCCTCACTCAGTTGCTTTGTTGTTACCGCTTCAGGGAGACCAGGTGGGGGGCTTTCTGATTGTCCCACCTCTTTGCCCCCTGGATTTGCCTTTGATGAACTTTATGTCTGGGTTGCATTTTGTTTAAATAACTTTTCATTTCTTTCTTTCTTTTTAGTTTAATTCCTGAGGTGATGCTTGTAAGTTCCCTGGGGTGCTAGTATTTAGGATCCCTAGATGATGGCTACTTCTCTGAGGTATCTTCCAGCCATAGCTGGTTTTTGGGTTTGACTCTGTTGGAAGATCTTACCTCTTCAGTTTGTTGGAGATGAGAAGTTGTTGCTTGTTTGGCCCAGTCCCTGGTTTTTTGGCACTGTGCCACAGTATTTTCTGTGACCCTTAGTCAATCTCAGTCATGGAATACCAGGATGAACAACTGCTTAGAACAATTATGTCAATTTTCACTATAACGACATGTCCTAGCAAATGACAAACCAAATTAACCCTTAATTTGCCACTTTTTAACCTTATGAACTGGATTTTTTTTTTGTCTTTTTCATTTTTATCGGTACCAGCGATCGAACTCACGACTGTCTGCTTGCAAGGCAGGCGCTTATGCTGCTGAGCTTAATCCCCAGCCCCTATGAACTAGATTTATGATGATGATGATGATGATAATGATGATGATGATGATTGTCTTTTTGAGACAAGGTCTTGCTATGGAGTTCAGTGCCTTGAGCTCACTTTGTAGCCCAGGCTGGTCTCAAACTCACAACAATCCTCCTGCCTCAGCCTCCCAAAAGCTGAGACTACAGGTATGTACCACCACACCTGGCTTAGATTTGTGATAATATAACAAAATCTAAAACAAACCAGAAAATTATATGCAATATACAAGCCCGTTGTTCTTGGAGGTTAGAATTTAAAATGGATTAAGGAGAAAATAGAGAAGTGGAAAAAAAGGAAGCAATTAGAAGCAAGGTCAGAAGACAAAAGTGGATCATGCCAACTTGGGGAAACTCAAGCAGAAGACTGGAGGAAAAGAGAGATGGAAGAGAGAAAAGGTAGAACAGAACAGAAGTAGAACCACAAGGAGGCTAGGAATGACCTCTAAGGTCAAAAAATGAAGGAGAAAGAAAAAAGAAAAGAAAGAAAAAGAAGGAAAAAGTCCACTTCCAGGGTTTTCTTTGATTTCACTAGTAGATAACCAGTGGAGACAGAGTCCCAAATTGTGTGAATTTATCCTAGCAAGCCAACAGTTGCTTTTCAGTAGGGTAGTAGATAATCTCATCAGGCCTGCTTTGAGACCAGACACACTGGGCTTGTCCAAGCACTTTCTGAGTGGGTCTGAGACCTGCTGGGAGCTGCTAGATGGAGCTGCTAGCAATTCTGGGTTCTGGGCTTAGCAAGCCCATCTCCAGTTTGGCTTCTGGTTAATTGCTCTCTTCTGTGGGAGGACTAAATCCTCTGCACTCACCACCAGCCAATGCAGTCCTTCACATCTGCTGTTCTCCTCCATTACCATATCCCTCTGCAGAGGCCTCCAGGGTTGCCAGCCATCACTGCCACTCTGGGCCTGCAGGCTTGAACCACTTCTCTCAAGCCGTGAGTCTGTCTCAGGGAGTAGTGCCACTGGCTACCTCCTTCTTCTTTCGAGTTTCTCTTTTCAGTCTCTCTGTGGGCTTCAATTCACACTTCAGAGTCTTCCTGGGTCTAGGGACCTACTTCTTTCATTCTTGCCTTCCCCACAATGTTGTATTCCAGTGTCTGGATGGTGACTGTCAGAGAGGCTGTTGTCTCTGATGCTTATTGCTTTGCCATATTGGTCCCTTCTTCTGATTGATCTCATTTGTATGTTTTTAAAAAGGAGTCATGCTCTCTGTACCTGTTAAATTTACATCTGCATGGACAACTGTCAGGAAGGAAAGGGAACTGAGAGGGAGGAAGAGACTATTTTCCACCCTGACAATTTTCCTCCAGGGCCATGGAAAAAAAAGAATATGGGGGAGGGGTACTGGGGATCAAATTCATGACCATGCTCTTGCAAGGTAGGTGCTTATGCTGCTGGGGTAACTCCCCAGCCCCCCCATTTTTTTTAATCACAAGAGTTTATTATTTGGTGATTAATTGAAGATTAAATATTAGAAAAATATTTTTCAAGGTTATTCTTTTATTCATGGTTGCTAATAGCATTTATATGACTAAATTAATTACTATTTTGTCACAGAATATATATTGTATACTCTTAGAAACACAAGCAGGGCAAGGTGGTGCACTCCTGAAATTCCAGCACTTGGGAGGCTGAGGCATGATGATTCTTGCAAGTGTGAGACCAATCTGGGCTACAAAGTGATCCCAAGCCCAGCCTGAACTACATAGCAAGAACTTATCTCAAAAATACAAAAGAAAAGAAAAGAAATGCATACATATTGAGACATACCAGTTATCATTAATACTAACCTTAAAGATTAATGAATAAAATTCATAATACACAAAAATAACAAGAAGTGCATATCACCTTGTCCTGTAGGCATTCTCTAAGGCCCCCCTACCTTTTAGGCTCTTGAGCCTTGTGACCCAGAAAACTTTTGAAAATGTTACTTTTTATGGCAAGTGTGGTGGTGCACAGCCACCATCCCAGCACTCAGGAGGTTAAAGCAGGAGGGTCAATGTGAATTGAAGGCCAGCCTGAGTTACATAAAATGTTGCTTTTAGCAGCCAGCCCTTGAACCTGGAGTACCAGCCACTGCAGAAGCTGAGAAAGCATGATCCGTGCACCAGCCTGGAGTTCAGGGCCAGCCTGGGCAACACGGTGAAGTCTCATCTTCATAAAGAAAAAACATGCTGTTTTACTTTTATTTTTTTAAATAAAAGATGTGTGCTGCCACACAAGTCTCTGCCTTGGGGGAGGGTATGGCAGGTTGCACTCCTGAGGTTATTACAAGGTCCTTCATAATTAGAGCTTTATTCAATTATCACCTTTATGTCTGGCAGCCAGAACTGTACTGTCTGGCACCTGAGAAACCAGCATCCTGGCCCTGTGCTGGGCCTGCACACCACATGTGGAGTGTCAGGACTCCCCGCTGCTCAGAGAGAGGCTTAAGACACAGCTTCCACTTCTGCAGCTGCTCTGAGCTCCCCTGCCCCCGCCTAATCTCCCCAGCTGCCCAGGCATTTCTGTGTTTTACCCTGGACACAGCATGCCCACCATCTGAATCCCCCTGGACCTCTGTGGAGATGAAAACACAATTTGTACCCATTTGAACATAGAACCTACATCTTACAAAGTGACACACTGACTCTGTACTTGATTCCTTCGTGGTTTTTTAAAAAAATCATGAGTGGATAATGGATAAAGTCAAATGCTTTTTTTTGTGGCTGCTGAGATGATCATGTGAGTTTTGTTCTTGCTTCTGTTTATGTGATATATTACAATATTGTGCTATAAATGTTGAACCACCTTTGCATTCCTGGGTGGAACCTAATTGGTCATGGTGTATGATGTTTTTGACGATTCACTGTAGTCTGTGTACCAGTATCTTACTGACGATTTCTGTTTCTGTAACATAGCAATGTATTTTTGAACTCTTTCCATTTTGGGGCCTTCTTACTAACATCTACTGGAACTCCACTGCATGGATATACTATAATACATGGCACTTGTCTCTTACTGGTGGACACCCAAGACTGTCTGTATTTTGTGCCTACCTCTGGGCACACTTTTGAGAGCTCGCTGCACTCTACTCTAGGGACTAAATGCAAATTCTGTCCTCCCCGGCAGAGGGGAGCACCGCTTTGTTTCTCAAACAGCGCCCTCTACTCGGCAAAGCTGGGAAAGCGCCTCATTGGAAAATGGTATTACATTGTAGAACATAGTAAATCTCCTGGTAGCAGAATTCTGCATTTTTTCTTTATACTATTCTATGTTGGAAAAAATTTCTAGAACCATCATGTTCTTTTCAGTAAACCTGAAGATATATTTCGTCTTCAATGGTTTTGGTGCTTCCTGGAGGCAAGAGAACTGCTTTTCCTTTTGAGCACAGGGCTCCCTGTGGCTTTACCTACAGCTGCCCAGATGTGGGTGGGTTCTGACCATGTTTGGGTGGCTGTGTGGCAGGATCTTTCCTAGCCTCTTGATGACTCGGGGCTTTGGGTGGGTTCTATAAAATAGAAATAATAAAATAGCTGGCATTTATAGACATTTGTTGTGTCAGTCACTTTTCTAAGTGCAGCTATGTATGTCAAGCATTGTTAATCCTTATAACAATGCTTGGATTGGGTAGTATGAGTTGCTCTATTTTGCAAATATAGAAAAATGTAGAGACATGGAGAGGTTATGCACACAGTCACACAGCTTGAAGAATGTGAAGCTATCTCCAAAGTTGTGCAACCACCTCATCTCTCTGTTAAGTAATGTTCTATTGCTATAGTTGTCCCTGACCCTGCATCTCCTCTTCCATAAGAGGAGACCAAAATGCCTACTTGAGATCATTGAAAAAATAAGGGACATGAATTGTGTGGCGGCTAGTAATATTCTGGGAGAACCCACAGGCCTGGCTAGGATTCCAGAGTGGCTGCCTGGGGACTCTGGCCCTGTAGGATGCAGCCTTTGAGGAGCAGTGTAGTCAGCTTTTCAGAGGGGAGCAAAGGTTTAGTACCAGCAGCATGCGAGGCACTGAGAGGCCATCAAAGCAACCACCAGCAGCTTTGGCTTCCCTCCTACAGCCACGCTCCTCAGGGGAATGGCTGGGTATATTCCATCCAAGTGTGCAGGACTTGTGGGGATGGCCGACCCTGGAAGTGGGGCAGGGAGGACCTTCAAGATTAGGCCTGGATTCGTCACATACCCAGGTTCATTCTCTCTACTTCTTGGCAAGAGTGTGGCCCTGAACATGTTGCTTAACCTACATGACTTAGTTTCCTGATTTTAAAATGGAGACAGTGTAGCCTGGGGTGCTTTAACTCCCAGCACTTTGGGAAGCTGAGGCAGGAGGGTCACAAACTTGAGTCCACCCTGAGCAATTTAACTCTTTAGAGAAATCTCGTCTCAAAAATAAAAAATAAGAACAGGCTGGGGGCGTAGCTGTGTGTGAAGGCCATTGGTTCAATCCCCAGCCACACACACACACACACACACACACACACACACACACACACGAGACAATGATGCTCATCTCAGATAACAATTATAAGGATTACATGACACAGGCTGGTGTATAAACAGGTTAACTCAGTCCCTGTGCCATTTAACAAGCATCAGCAAGCAAGGACTGGACCAAGCCTGTGAGCATAGCAAGTTGGGCCCAAATGCCATCCCTGGCTTCCTTGGGTTAGCTCTCTAGACAGCTCAGTTTAGTTGCACCTTAGCTGTCTTGTTACTTGTAGATTTCAGCTAAGCCTTAAAAACATTGGTACAGCCATGTACCTCCCCACACTATCTAAGCAGTCCCATCTTTCTTCTGTGGTCATCTTATCAGCATCAGGGAACGCAGTATCCACCCTTTCTACTTGTTCACACTAGGCCAGTCATGACGGTACATGCCTGTAGTCCCAGCACTCCAGAGGCTGAGGCAGAAGGATGGCCATGAGTTTGAGGGCAGCCTGGGCTGAATAGTGAGTTCAAAACCAGCCTACACTACAGCCAAACAAACAAGCAAACTCCAACTCAGACAAGTTTTCACTTGTTAGTGTTCCTGATGTGTTTCTACTTTTGGGGAGACTGTCTTGAGGATGCCAGGTACTGCACTGTAGCAGAAGATACCCTCCTCCCTAGCCAGTATGCTTCAGTGTCTTAGTTACCCCCAGGTAACAATTCCTGTTGCAGTTCTGGTTGCTTCCGTCTCCTAAAAACGGCTAGTCACTGTGATGCATAACTGGTCACATATTGTAAGAACCAATCCCCAACTGACAAGCCCGTCTGTCTCAGTACTTACTGCTTGCTTATCCCATATAAGCCCTAGACCACTCAAGATCAGAGCCTGATATTTTGGAAATGATCCCAATCAGTGCTTATTGTGCACTGCCTCCAAATGCAGGGTGTTGTTTCAGTGTTCCTGTTCACCATAGCAGCATAAGGAAGTGGAAAACAACACTCTCCAGTCTTAGCTCCTGTTGCTCAGGGAACCTTGGTCGGTTGTCAGGGAGGCCACTAGGCAGCTCAAGAGCATACACAGGTGAAGGAATCCTACCCAAGAGTGGTACTGGGCTGCAGGTCCAGGTAGTGATGCGGCCACGCAGCAGAGAGGCCTTTTGGCCTGTTCCTGTGCTGTTTCCCAATCAGCCTTGGAACAGGCTCAGCTAAGGCTCAGTAACACTGTGGGGGCCAGGAGCTTACACGACAAAGGGGCTGAGGAAAGAGCACGTGGCCTTTATGAAAAAGAACTGAAAATCCAGCAGAAAACTGAATGTTTAGCTAGAATGATAAAAGAAAATACAAGTTGCAGCTTTAAAAAAACAACAGTGTTACGAAATTCAGTGAACACAGTCACACTAACTGTAGCACAGTGATTATAAATATTTGGCTTTTTGACACAGCTCCAGACATTTCAGGTTCAGACTCCTTGGTCCCCAGGCCATAACTTAACACTTTCATCGTTTAATTTCTAGACAGAGAAAGAAAATTCATTCTTTGCCTTAGCAAGGTTGACTGAACTTCAGTTTTGAGAGCTGTCAGAGCCTGGTGCCCAGCTGGCACTGTGTACCTCCCCCGGCCCACAGGGGATGTGGAGGAGCCCTGAAGCTTCAGCCTGGACCATCCAGGTCTGCAGCAAGGGCTTCTTCCACCTTTCATGTCTTCTTACCATATTTGGAAAATATCATTTGTCAATTTCAGTGTCATTATTTTAGGAATATTTGAAAAACAGGTTGAAGAATGTTTCCCACATTGTTCATGTATGTTAGATTTCAGTCATGAGAATTTGGGAGTCTCCTATAATTATCATATTATAGTAATAAATATTTTTGTGTTTTGAAACAGGATCTTGCTTTGGAGAACAGGCTGTCCTTGAACTTACTATTTAGCCGAGGCTGGCCTTGAATGCCCAGTGATCCTCCTGCCTCAGCCTGCAGAGTGCTGGGATTACAGGTGTAATTTTATTGGCCATTTATCTTTATTCTTGTAAGTAGTATCTATTCATTTTAATTGTCCATTTGTATTTGGTCTTTTACTTTTTGGTAGTCTAATTGTTTTGAGTTGTTCGTATGTTTTAGATATTAGACCTCTATCAGAGGAGTAACTGGCAAAATTTTCCTCCCACTTTGTCTGTTGACTCGATTGGTGGTTTCCTTTGCTGCACAGAAGCTTTTAAATTTGATGGTCCCATTTTGCTGATTTTTGGTTCTATTTCTTGTGTTATTGGAATTCTGTTCAGAAATTCCTTGCTCATGTCTCTGTCTTCAAAAGTTTTACCTATTTTATCTTCCTGCAGATTAACTGTTTCTGTTAATCTGCAGATTCAGATTTTTTATCCATTTTTTATTTTAGTTTAATGGGTCTCTAGACTAAATTTTCTGTCTGCAGATAGCCAGTTTTCCCAGCACCCTTTGTTAGAGGTTGTCATTCCTCCAGCATGTGCTTTTGGCCTATTTGTCAAGGACTGGCTGTCTGAGTGTGCCTGGAAAAGCTTCTGCATCCTCTGTTCTGTTCTTGATCCCAGTGTCTATTTTGGTCCAGCTGTGATACAGCTCGAGGTCTAGGACTGTGCAATAATAGCTCCTGCTTTGCTTTTGTTGCTGAGGGTTGCTCTCACCATTGTCTCTTCTAGTTCCATATAAATGTTAAGATTTATTTCTAGTACTGTGCAGAACATTGATGGTATTTTCATTGACTGCATTAAATCTATATATCAGTTTTAATAATATGACCATTTTGACAGTATTGGCCCTGCTTATGCAGGAATAGGGATATCTTTCCATTTTTTTTGATCTCCTTTTTCAGTGTACTGCAATTTTCATTAACAAGTTCTTTT